CGGGCCTGTGGCGTTCTTCCCCCTTGGACCTGAGCTCACGCGCTGTCGGGCCATCCCCTCTCGCTGCCCGCGATCCGTCTCGCCTTAATCCCCAGAGGACTGGGTTTTACTTGGCGGCGCTCAAAGACAGGCGTCGGCTCCTCCTTCCGCTCCCGACCCTTTGTGGCTGAAGTTTTGCCTCTCGGTTAGAAAAGTGCCCAGAGAGGAAAGGGAAAAGGCCTGCGGGAGCACGGCCCCCGGGCTGCGGGGAGAGAGAAAGGGGAGCAGCTTCTCTGGAGCAGATCGTGCACCTCTGCATCCTCGCGCCAGTGGTGGGCTCCCCTGACCTCGTGTTTTCTGCTTTCCTCTCTCTCCTCAAGAAAGAGAAATCCAAATCAAGTAGCAGCACTGCCCGAGAACCCAATGGCTTCCCAGCTGACACCTCTGCCAACTCCTCTCTCCTTCTGGAGTTCCAAGGTGAGTCTGGCTGAGCCCCCTTCAAGCTGGGGGAAGGCCCCAAGGCCTTATAGAAGCTGGGATGTTGCTGGCTTATGTATGCTGTGCGTACTGGGAAGAGCAGCACGTGTCTTCAGTGCGGGGTTGCGTTGATCCACTTCTGGACTGTCCCTGCTGAAACTATTCATTTTTGCTGTCAGAAAGAATCTCCACTGGCTGTTTCTGGGATCTTCCTGTGGGAAGCCTCATAAGGAACTGGAGGAGTGGGGGTTCCCGTTCCCACTGTGCAGTCCCTGCGGGGGAGAGGCCGGTAGCTGCCTGCAGCTGAGCCCGCTGCTTCCAGCAGTGACTTGCACGGACCTTGGGATGGAAGGGCAGAGGATCCCCTTGACCTTGCTCTTGATCCCGGAGCACTGCAGCCAGCTGCGAGCAGGCCGGGTTCTGTGGTAGAGCTGAGCGAGGCTCAGGCAGCGCATGGTCTCACTGCTGGAGCAGAGCTTATGCCTGTCCCCGGCCTTTCCACTCGGCTCTCCCCGCGGCCGAGGGGAGTCAGGGAACGTGTTGGCACTTGCAGTAGATGCGGTGAGAAGGTTAGCGGTGCAGGTCTGCAGCGTGGGACCGCGTTCTCTGGAAAAGATGTGTGCCAGGACTGCCTCCCCGGCCGGAGGCAGGTGCTGAGCGTTGCTCCTGGTGTTAGGTTGCTGCCTCGCAAACAGAAGAGGTAGACAGCCCCGGTACGCAGGCGAGAGGCCTCCTGCCCTCGAACGCCTGGCGCCCTCGCAAGCTGCAGACAGGAGATTTGGCGGCACAGCGCTTTGTATCGCCCCCCTGCCTTCTGCTCGTTCTTTCCAAATAGCCCAGGGTCGCGCTCCGTCCGCTCAGACTCGTGCCCCGGGCAGAAGCACCCCCTCCCCCGTGGGCCAGTTGTGTATCTGATGCCTTGTGCCCGGCAGCCCTTACGTTGACGGGTGACAGCGAATCCCCTGTACTCCGCCTGCCTCTGACTGCGCTCTTCCTTCTCCCCAAGACCCCGGCGCTCAGTGCCGCCCACGGCTGCCTGTGCCCCCGGGTCAAGGTGCTCTTCTTCACTAGGTGCTGTTTCTGCAGATGAGAACAGCAACCAGAGCTCCCTGTCGGATGTCTACCAGCTCAAGGTGGACAGCAGCCCCAACTCCAGCCCCAGTCCCCAGCAGAGCGAGTCCATGAGCCCTGCCCATACGTCCGACTTCCGCACGGACGACTCGCAGCCACCCACGCTGGGGCAGGAGACACTGGAAGGTGGGTGCTGGGCCGGGAAGGGAGGAGGTGGAGGGCCCTGCTGGGGCCGTTACTTGTCCGGTGGGTGACTGAGGCACCGCTGGGAGACTTGTGTCTTCTGCTGGAGGTCTCCTCTCCTGGCTCAGCACTGAGCTGGGTACTGCCATGCTCCTGGGTCGGAAGTTCCCTTATCCCTCCTGTTCTCCCCAGAGCCTTCCCTGCCTTCCTCGGAAGTTGCGGACGAGCCTCCCACTCTCACAAAGGAAGAGCCGGTCCCCCTTGAGACTCAGGTAAGGGAGGGGGGATTGAAATAATGTCTGAATGCGCGCGGGCCCAGCTCGGCCCTTTCACCATCGTTGCCGCCCCTTGTAACCGAATCGTCTCGAGGGATGGGCTTGCTCTGCAGTCCCAAAGTGCCCTCCAGGAGCTCCCCCAAACCTCCCGGCTTTCCGAGCTGTCCCCCGGTTCAGTTCAGGTGTTAAAGTGTGACGAAAGGATGCGGAGGTGGAGTAAAACAACGATTCTAGCTGGCTCCGGGGCTGAAGTGGGTTCCCGTTCCTGGGGCTTCCTCACAGATGAAGGCCCGGGGTGTCCCCACAGGGTGACACAGCCTTGTCTAGGTCCGCGTGGCTTGGCGGGCACGCCGCGCTCCTGTCACGGCCCGTGACCTCTGCCTCTGGCTCTTGCAGGTA